TTACATTACATTACATTACATATATATATATATTTGTTTTTTACATTTATGTTTATGTTTACATTTATATCTATATTTATATTCGTACTTAAATGTAAATTTAAATGTATATTTATATTTATTCTTATTTTATATTTAAGTAGAGTGAGACAGCGCGAGAGTGAAAGACCCCGGTTTCAGAAGCTCTGCCTCTGCAGCGGCTTGGATGCCCAGGGCGCCTCTCGCCGCCTTGCTGCGGTTCTGCTCCATCCAGGGGTCGATGGTGAAGATCCGGGCTTGCCTAATGTAGGGGCCTTAATAATTTACAATAGGGCTTTGGGCTCCTTTATAGTATAGACACAATTAATAGGAACCCTAAGGAAGAATATTGGTAATTCTCTAGGCTTCTATAGTGTAGGGTTTAGGGTTTAGGGTGTACGGCTTGGGGTTTAGGGCTAAGCCTTGAGGGCTTTGGGTCTAGGGTTCAGGGTTGAAGGTTTAGGGTTGAAGGTGAAGATCCACCTTTACCTCGGGCTGATAGTCTTCGGCTCTTGTGGAAGATTTAGGGTGTCGGGATTTCAGGATGCTTAGAAGGATTCGGGTGGCTTTGGGGCTTAAGGGTTTTGAAGCTGCTTCCGGGTGCTTTGTGAGTACGGGGTTTCTGGCAAAGATGTCAAGTGAGGTCGGTCCCCGCGACTATAACTCTAAACCCTAGGACCCTGCGACCCTAAAATCTACATCCTAGGACCCCAAGCCCTACGACCCTTGTAGATGACTCAACCCAGAAGCCGCAACCGCTGACCGGATCAACCGAGTCGCTTCACTGTCTTGAGGACGTGGACCGTGCTGGCTGCTTTACCTGTCCCCACCTTCGGGTTTCAGCAAACAAGGGGTCTCTTATTTAAGGGTCTTTCTGGTGGTAAGAATCCTACTACTTTGGATCATGACTCGGGTTCCTCATTTTCTACAACTTGCAGTTTTCGAACTAGGGTTCTATTTTTTAAGCACGATTTTTAACTCCCACCTCCACCATGACCAGCTCCTGCCGCCCGGCACGCAGAGCCTGAGGCAGGAGCGTCCGAAGAAGACCCACCAAGATCTCCTGAGCGACGGTTTTGAGGCAGTTCAGGGGTTAAGGGCTTTAGGGTTTCGGGTTTGGGGTTCAGGGTTTAGGGTCTGGGGCTTTAGGGGTTTACGGATAAGGAGCATTTAGTTGCAGGAGTGCAGGAGTTCACCAAGAGGAGATCCAACAAAACAAAATTAGATGGGGGTTAAAACAATTAGAATAATAGGGGTCAGGGTTAAACTATAGTATGAGTATATACAGACTAAAGAGGGGGGGGGACTTTGCTCATTATTCAGAACCCTTTTGTTGCCGCTATGAGCTTCGAACACGCAAAACCGTTCATGCTGTGGACCCCAAAGTCTCAGTGTGGTGGAGACCCAGATCCACTCGGTGGCGAAGAGGGACATCCGCAAGAGGGCCTCTTCCAGCTGCCACTTCCAGAGTGACCTGGTGGTCCATCACCTGGGTTCTTGTTGAGGGATTTTATTTAAGTTACCATAATAGGGATCTAAAGTAAATAATAGGATTTCCTTATTGCGGTAACTTAGATTAAATCCCCCAACAAGAACCCAGTCACAGAAACCTTCTCCAGTCCAATTTTGGATAACTCCAGGTTGGTGTACAACACAGGCCCAAGGACAGCCGTGCAAGCACCTCATCCATGGAGATCACACGAGATCCGACCCAGACTCTTGACCCCGAACCTCGTAAAAAAAAAACCTACTGAACTGCGATGTTGTGGTCCGTGAACCCCCTCTTATGATCCCAGGAAAGCTCTGCAAAGGCCTCCAGCGAGCAAGTCGGCTTCCAAAGTGCTCAAAGACTCCTTGGCTTGAAGTTTGGGTTTTTCGGGATGCGAGCAAGACTAACCACAGTTACAACAGTAACAAAACCAACGATAATGTCACAAACAGAGTGGTAATAGCAACAGTTAGCAAGACTCATCATCATGAGGGTAGTTCTCTAAATTAGGTTCCCTTTCAGGTACCCAATGTAGCACGGCACCCTCATAGAAAGGAGCACAACTGCAAGACACGAGCCTCACAATCTGCACTGAACAACCCGGCATCCCAAAAACAAGCTGACGGGTTTGGAGTGATTAAGGCCCCGATGTTATTGAAAACATAGGGAATCATAAGGAACCCCTTAAAACGAAGAACCTTCGAAGGAGGCCGCAAACGAAACGAACCTCGAGAACCTCAACGCCTCTAGACTTAGAGCCTTAGAGTCTTATGCTAGTTCTCTGCCTCTGCTTCTTTACGGTGTAGGGTTTAGGGCCGCTTAGGGTTTAGGGCTGAGGGATATGCTGCTTCATTGAGGCGCAAGGACCCGTAAGCCCCTACAATGCCTGCATAGACCGCTAGGACTCACAAGCTCACCTGTAATCAACTCTAACTGAACCCTAGAAGCCCTAAGCTCCATACCCCAGGCCAACGCGCAATCCCTAAACCCCAGACCCGGGGCCCTAAACCGATCATCCCAGAATCTTGAGCTGCCGCCAGCGCCGTCGTGGCCACTTCGCTTGGCGCGCCCAGCCCCACCTTTAGAGGGGTTTAGGCCGGGTTTGGGGGTTATGTCGCAGTTTATTTAGTGTTTGGGATTTTGGTGGTTAGGGGTTTATGTCACAGTTTGGCTTTTTGGTAAGCTTCCCTGTTGGGGGTTTAAAGGTTTAGGGTTTGGGCTGTAGGGCCACTGTAGGGTTCTGAGTTGAGGGTAGCTTTCGAGTTTAGGGTCTGGGGATCTTCGGGGATCCGAACATTACGATGTTTGGCGACGCCCGCATTTTGACTTCGGCGAAACCCTCCGTGACGTCGGCAGAGCTCGCCAAAGTCAGAATCCAGGGCATCCTCCGATTCCGGGGAAGCAGGGAATCCTCAACTTACTTGGCTAAGGAAGATACCTTAACCTCGTAGGCTGTAGAGTCCCTGAACCTCCTCTCGCGCGCCTGCGCCTTGGAAAGAATCTCTTTCGAGCGCGCCAATGCTGCCAAGAGCGTTGCTTGGTCACAGGAGCCGACACCCAGGGCAGCGGCACAGCCAGAAGAAATGCACGCGATGCCGCCCTGCGCATTGAGCCATGAGTTGGCCTGACACAGGTGTAATTTGGGAGTTAGGATTAGGGGGACCCTTGGGGATAAAGACCCTCTCAATAAGGTCCCCTTTAAGAGAGCCACAAGTAGGGTTCAGAAGGGTCCCCTTTCAGGGGTCTCCCTAATACTACCTAGGATAATTGCTGTTTTGTGTTTTCGAGATGTGGTGTTTATGCTTTGAGGGCCCTTTCTGTCGCTTGCGCCCCAAAGCCCTTGTGTTGGGCAGGTTTCCGGTCCCCATTACTTATTCTCAGACGTTGCCCTTCAGCTTCGTTCTCTTCACCCGGCTCCCTCAAAATCTTCCCCTCCATCCGACCCCAAGTCATCCAAGGTGTGGCTTTACAGCTCAGGGTTTACGAAAAGGGTAAAGGGAACTTGCTCAAGTGCTGGAATTCCGGGGCTTAAGGTTTCAGGATACAGCCTTGAGGGCTTGGGGTCTTTGGCTTTAAAAACCCTAAACCCTAAACCCCCTAAACCTTAAACCCTAAACCCTACTTTAGGCTTAAGGATTGAAGTAGGACCCTGCCGGCCTGATAGAGGGGCTCGGCCACATACTTGTCCACTGCTTGAAGAAAGAGCCTTGTGGACTCCAACTCCTGCAAAGATCCACTTTCAGCCTTTTCCCCAACACCCCTGAATGCCTGAATCCCTATGTAAACCCTAAATCCTAAACCCCTATGTAAACCCTAAACCCTAAACCCTAAACTAAACCCGATCTAGGAAGGGTCGACACTAGAAGCCGGGCCCAGGGCTTGTGCGAAACCCCCCCGATTTGCAAATGAACTCTTCCGCCAACTTACAACATAGTAGTATCTTCCGTTGGGTTCTCCCTTCCTCCCTTCCTCCCTCCCTCTCAGTCCACTCTCTCCCTCTCTCTCTCTCTCTTTCTTGCTTGCTTGCTTGCTTGCTTTCTCTCTTTCTCTCTTTCGCTCTTTCTCTGTCTCTCTCTCTCTCTCTCTCTCTCTCTCGCTCTCTCTCTGTCTGTCTCTCTCGTTCCCTCTCTCTGTCTGTCTCTTCGTCTCTCTGTCACTCTCCGTCTGTCTCTCTCTCTCTCCCTCTTCCTCTCCCTCTCCCTCTCCCTGCCTCCCTCCCTCTCCCTCCCTCTCCCTCTCTCTC